CGCTGCTGGAGCTGGTGGCAGAAGCAGCAACGGGCACAGCCCGAGCTGATTTTCGGAAGCGAGGGGATAGCATGCCTGTGCCAGCGTTGCAGAGCAGGAGGTGGGGAAGAAGGGGAGGGAGGAGGAAGGTGCCCATGGCTGCCGGCTCTCCTGGCAGCCTGCCTGGGGCTGGGCTTCCCGTCACAGCTCAGCGCTTGCGCAGAAAGGTGGAAGCTGTCCTCACCCGAGCTCCCTCCCAGGCACGTCAGTGATGCCCGCAGGCTCTGGTGCAGTTCTCCCTGTTTCAGGAGGTCTTTGGTGTCTTGTGGGTCAGAGGGTGTCTCAGGGTCTTGTTTCTTCCTTGTTGGACTTGAAAAGTTTTAGTTTGAGAGCCTGGGGGGAGCCCCAGAACCTCTGGCAGCCCCGCACTCGAACCGCAGAGCGCATCTGGCATGCATCGGTCCAACAGCAGGTCTTAACTGGGAACCTGGAGCACTTAACGAGTTGTAAAGTGTGTAGAAAATGGGCTGTTTAATATTTAGCACACTTGACTGGTGCAGCGTGGGTTCCTGGGAGTGGCTGGGGCCGGGGGTCACCCCTTGCAGGCAGCACGTCGTGTTGGTGGGGGCTCTGTGTCCTCCCGGAGCTGGCTATGCCGTCTCGGGGGCAGAGCGACCGTCACGGCTCTCAGGGTTCAGAAGCATTGAACAAAACCGCAAAGCTCTGTCGCTCTGCAGAGGCCGATGCCGGTGCGAGACCCGCAGAGCTGGTCAGCAGACTGCACCCCGAGGCCCTGTGAGCTTTCTGGGGGGGCACTGCGTGGGAAGAGGACCTTGCTGCCAATCTGGACGTGCCGTGCTGTGCTGCGTGATGCCCGCGGCGGGTGTTTGACGTGCGGACGGGGTGCGCTGGGAATAGGTGCTGAGGAGGCTCAGGCTTGCAGCAGCAGCCCTGTGTTGCCCTGACGTGGTTTAGCTTGTCTGTGTCCCTCATCTTCATCTTCTCCGAGTCACCCGGGGTGGGGCCCAGCCGCTGTAGCAGGTGCCATCGGCTCCTCGCAGGACCCCTGGGTGTGGATGAAACCTCTCTGTGGTGACGGGTGTCCAAGCCCGGCCAACGCTTGCAAAGCTGTGGCCCGAGGCAGGAGGGCATCTCCCGTCTCACCCCGTCTCACCCCGTCTCCCTCAGCCACACTGCTCCGGGCAGTGACCTGCGCAGGCTCTCTGGGGTCTCCTGCAAATGGGACCCCTTGCTCGTGAAGCTGTTTCAGTAGATCATCTCTCTGCTGTCCCTGTGCACCGTCCGGAGCTGCGTGCCCCACATCAGCCGCCTCTGATCGTCC